TATCAAGAAGGAAAGGGAGAATGAAGAATGTTAAATATTCAGTTATTAACAGAGAATTAGAAAATCTGTTACATGCCAGTATACTTCGGTGGGCTACACTATAGGAAAAACATTCCTGTAAACTGCGAGTCGTGAACCTTGAATCGATTTTTGCTAATGAAATTCTCCGGCACTTCGATTTCGGCCGCTAGCCAATCTCGTGCACGGAAGGCGGCTAAGTGCGAGTAATAAGTTGGAGCCGGATAGGAAACGCTTCTTGGGCAACGCATGTAAGCATGGCACAGGAAATAAGTGAACATTTGAAGCGCATCGGAGGTCCAGTTGCTATCGTCGTAAAGGACGTGATAATGCGCAGGCTTTGAAGTGCCCTAAAGAAGTAAGTTAGGAATGGAATAAGCGCAAGTACACTAACCTGAATTCCCTCCTGCGAGCACAGATAAAAATCGAATTCTCGTCTATGTGTGATAACAGTATCTACGACTGTTCCTGGCGCAACATTTTTGGCCCTCGGGTCCAGCGGCTCAAACCTGATGTGGTGCCTCTTCTGCACAACAATATAGGTTATGGCCGGCTCATAGCCGGCCCGAAGACCAGCGCAAGCTTTTTGTATGGCAGGCAGTTCGCCAGTTAGCACAGTGTCGAATTGTCCTTCAGATACTCCGTCACGGTAGAAAATTAGTCTGTCCGGGAAACGGTCATTATTGTTTACGAAGTATGCCTGCGAAGAAAAAGAAGGTATAAAAGTGCCGTCGATGGAACAAAATAGCAAGTGGAGTACCTTGATTACTTACCTTTAGCAAGTCCGAAACAATCTCTTCCATATTGTCTATTATCTCCCGCGTGGTCTTATTACCCCTCTCTGTAGTATCCTGTCTTCGAACAACGGCAGCATACCGCATCAAGTCCGGTGTGATGCTTCCCAGGACCGCCGCTACCGATTTCCGGAGTTCATCGTTTTGCGTGGGCGCAGGATGCGTAACATCAGCGCCGAAAACCATTACTGATTCTTTTATGGGGTAGTTTGAAACACTCCAATTTATCCCACCAAGCTTTCCATTTATCTTCAACATCAAGTTGGCTGGAAAATAAATGAAGGGTATTTTAGAGAAGGACTTTTGAAGCAGCTGATAGTTAACAACGCCCGACCATCGCATACGCTAGAGCGGAAATAAAGATCCGAACGACTGTCCTGCATCCAGACTTACGGAAAACGTTGGGTTTTGTTAGTGTCACCCCCTTTACACATTGAGTACGAATTCCAAGCTTGATGTCGCTCAGCACTTTGATCGACCCATAAGTAAAGTTGTCATAAAGAACAAGGACAACAAGCGTGACGCGTTGTGATTGGAGCTGGCGCATCAAATTCTCTAGTTCGCTCGGAGTTATGGTCTTACAGAAGGGTCGCGGATCAAATCGGAAACCAAATTGCGTTGCAGCTTGAGGGAGTCGCTGGACCAGTGTGGCTTGGTTTCGTTGGGCAGCCTAGAAGAAAAGATAGTTAGGTAATGACACACATTGGACAGGGCTGGTAGAGGAACCGAAACTAACGTTATGTGGTGGAATGTTCACAACAGCCCATTTCAGTGGCTCAGCAGTCGCTGGTTGCAGAAAAGTGTTAAACAACCACTTCCCACGTCCGAGCTCTACATCTCTGCTCCCGAAAGAGGCCCATGGCTGAGGAAGAACACGAGCACTGACGGTTCCACGCTGGGTTTGAACATTTATATCGTAGCGTTTCAATAGCGCATGTTGACTATAAGGTCGCAAGGTTACGTGTAATTAAACGCAACTTACTTTCGCATGAATTCACTCACGTAACGATCGAGTTCCCTAAATCGTTCTTGCGGTTTAACGGCGGCACATCGAATGATTTCACTGGCGACATCAGCCTTACGTGCAGTCGGGTTTTGATATGGCAATACGTGCAGCAACTCCATTGGGATGAACACATCTCTCTTGTTAGAAACCTATCAAAGCTTGATAATATAAACAAGAAAAAGCTTGCCTTCACACAGGGAAGACCGGGGTACTCGAGCGTTATTTTGTGATGTTCTTTAAAGTATTCGAAAACAGACTGGTTTTTGTCTTCGATTATCAGCCTTTGCGCTGAAGTGGTGGAGAGGCTGAACACCGTAAAACGGCGAGAGAACGATTTTCCTAAAGATAAAAAAACAAATCAGTCATTGCATTAAGTAGTTAATAAAAGAGGGCGGACCGCCCGGTTAACGATCCACTCCCTCGCGGCCATTTGAAGGGAAACAGGCAATAAAAATTTGATCAGATGCATAGGCCGGATTTTCCATCCAAACAATACTAACCGTCCTCATTTTTGTAAAACTTCGCTTCAACACGTAGCCTCTTGATGTCAGCCAGTACCGAGTTCCAACAAGCGGGGTTCTCGATATCGTCTCCATATTTCGCATATAAGACGTCCGCGAGGTTTCCGGGAGGGAAGAACGCCTTGCATGTCTGAATACAAACAAAGCCACAGTTAGGCTCTCGAATACTGGCAAAATGCAGGTTACGAAACGTAAATCAGAACACGGCTAAACCTCAGCTAGCTCACCATGTCAACATTGACGCGAACCTTCCACTGGGGACGAACGCTGGTTATGAAGCCCATGTGTATGTCGAACAGTTTGTCGGCAAGTCGTTTTATGGGTGTAGGGTAGAAGATTGCAGCTCTTCCGGACGATACAAATTTGTCTTCGTTTATAGACTTAAAGATGCAGTCGATCATGCGAATGCTTTCCTAAAGCTTTGGATCAAAGAAGTGGATCACAACTAACCTGTGGCATCGCCAAAGTGGAAGCCCTTGGATTTTCGACGTAACGTGCGAGATCACCCGTGGATGTTTCCTGGACTAATTTTATACGATACTTGAGTACTAGTTCGTCCCGATCCGTCGGGTCGGGAACGGGTTCTTCCTTTTGTATTCCCATCTCATTTACACCGGCTAACTTGTCCAGTGTGTAAACAATCCGTCCTCCGTCGTAAACGGTGTCAGATGGCATTCTAAAGGGCATCACATTAAGTAAATTATTACGAACATCGGATATATAATTCAACATAAAAAGCGAAGCATACCTTTTCACGATATGCTTTACAAGCGCGCGCATATCCTTTGGAAGTAGCCGAACCTCAACTTTCTCGTTGTCCTTCATCCGATAAACTCCAAGAGCCTCGATGTCATACATCAGAACGGTGCGATCCGCAATCGTCATATCCCAGCAATTAAGCCTTATTAAGACAGTGTCTCCGACAGTTCCTCCGTTATCAGGGCGGCAAGGAGGATGAAGCCCCTCTGTTATTGTTACCCTTGATGAAGTACGGTAAGAAGTACTGCATATACTTACCTCTCCATTTGTTCAACTAAGTTGTCTCTGCAAAAGAAAAAGAAACAAGTTCTGGGAGAATCTATCACTTAACAAACAGGCACGAAATTTGGTGTGGAACCACTTCATAACTGAGCATAGGAGTATAAACAGAAAATTAATTAGGGTCAGCTGATATTGCCGAGAGCATAGTAAATAGCATCCCCGCGCGGCCTTACTGGCATCTATTAAAATCCCTAGGCAAGTTATTATCGTAAAATTTTCTCTCAGGACTAATACTGAATTTCTCCGGCAATATTTCTTTGCATCCCGACATTAGGAGTTATTCTGTCAATGAAATCATGAACATACGCAGCAGCTGGACGTGACTGTCGGTAAGTTGAATACGAACATGCGAGCTTATAAAACCATCACGACTACTCTCTCAAACATCTGCAGACTGTGTGCCGACAGGCAAGCAGAAAGAAAGTGTATATAATCGCTTAGAGTTTCCTACAAATGCTTACGCTGAGGGTTTACTTTTGATCTTCTTCTGGGGAGCCGATGACTGCCCGAACCCAGCATCATCGCCTCGTGCAGACGCCATCATAGGTTCGGGTCCTGGAGGTCT